GAAATGCCCACCCACTGGTGACCCACACCCTTCAGGATTTCTCCAGTCTGCTGCTCTCCTTTCCCCAGGGAACCTTTGCATTATGTAAAAATAGTTCACCTGACCCGCCCACTCCCCACTCCCCAACCCCAATTCTTATTAGACCAAAAATGGAAAATTCTGGACAAGAGTTGTTTTGGTTCAAACGAACTCCTGGGCATGTGTGACTCTTGTGTTTATAACTGGCAAGAGTGGCGCCAGTTGTCCCACCTCTGAGTCCAGGGACTCCTGCGGCACATGCCTCAATGCACGTGGGAAGCCAGAGTCACCGATTAGTTCCACCGTCCTGTCAAGGCCATGACCAGATGAGAAAAGTCTCCATAACAAAGAAGGAAGAAGGAAAGAATCTAAACGGGGTCGGGAGAACTGGATTCCCCCATGGACAAGTTGTGGCCTCAGAGGGACCTGCTTCCCTCTCTGGGACTTGGTTTCCCCATTTTTGTAATGGACTGCATGATCCCTGAGGGCCTTTCTGGAAGTAAAGTTAAGACAAAGAAAAGGGACTTGAAGTCTCTGGATGGAGGTGCCTGATACTGCCAGTCCCAGAGTTTCCATAGCAACCACTTTCTCCATCTCCAAAGTTCTCCTGCATCTGAGGGCGGTTGCAGCTGTTCCTTCTGCTTGGAACGGTCTTCCTCCTGCTTTACACAAGGCTGACCCCTCTCATCCTTAAGTCCTCTTGTTAAACGTCACCATCCCTGAAGGCGTTTCCTGGCCACCTCCAAACAAGCTGGTCTTCCCTGCACTCTGTTTCATTTCTCCCAGCACTAGTCACCATGGGAGGTTGTCGATCATTTGATTTGTTTGATTCCTATATAACATGTGTCTTCACCAGCCAATGTCAGCTCCATGAGGCAGGGACCCTGCCTGTCTTGTTCACTGCTGCATCCCGACTGCCCAGGCCAGAATCCGACACATTTATGGATTCAATACATGTTGGATGAATGAATGAGTGAACGAACTAATGAATGAGTAAATGAACTTGGTTGGTGGTACCCTGTGGGCCACACCTCACAGGTGAGCTTCTTCCTTCTCTTCTCTCCTTCTCTGCCTCCCTCTACCTTGCTTGCCTCCTGGTTCTCCCCTTCTTTTACCCACATCTGTCATGCTAATTCCAGCTGCCAGGTGTTTTACTCCTTTTATCACTTTTCCTTTTTACCTGTCCACTTCACATGTTCCCTGCAAGGCCAGTGGGTGCCCCATCACCACTGCCTCCATGAAGCCCACCAGGATAGGTTCAGCCCACAGGGATCTCTAAACCTCTTATTCACACAGTGCCCTGCCATTCACTGAGGGCTTTCCTGGATGGGCTCCTGGCCACAGCCTCTGAAGGAGGCAGAGCCAGCACATGTAAAAACAAAATGCACTACACACAAGGCATGCAGTGGTATTAGACCCATTTTACTGATCAAAGTCTTCAATTCTCTGTCTAAGTAGACCGATCAAGCAGGTGCAAACCAATCCTGACCCTGCTCTCCATGAATTCCAACCCTGGCAGTTCACTGTTTTAACTTTTAAGTATGAAAATTTCAAACACAGACCAAAAAGAAAGTACAATGGACATCTATATGCCCATTTGGTGGACTGGTATTTTATTTCATTATCTCTTGTTCTGTTCTCCAGGATGGGTTTGTGTGTTTCTAACACCTCAAGTTGGAAAGGTCGAGTTAACCACCCTTCTGTTCATAGCATACTACCACCCTTGGTCTGTACTGCCCTGATTGTACATATTTGTTTAGTTTTAATTCCTTTTAACCTCATTGCCCACTCCCCGCCCCCCACCTCTGCCACACACACACACAGAAGCAAATATTCTTTGGGGTTTAATTTGCACCATTTTAAAAATGAATTATGCATCAGTGTTTTGTATGCACGTATTTTTAAGTTAAGTGATTGGCACTGTGTCATTGTTCTACCTATTTTCATTCTACTTTTAAGGTCCATCCCTGTTGCTATGTTACATTTAGTCTATCGTATCTAACGTCTGCAAAGTCCTCCGTGGTGACCCAGCCTCTGTCCCCAGTGAAGGTCCCAGTTTCCTTCCAATTACCCGTGTCCACAATAATGCTGCAACACATCCTTGGGCAGACCTCCCTTCTATGATATAATCCCTAGTCCGGTTATTCATGTAACAATAGTTATAGTTATAATTAGCTAATACTTATGGACCCCTTACTAGGTGTCTGGTGCTATGAAAGCATTTTATACGCCTTCAGTATTATTACAATACCAACTCTGAGACAAATGCACTGATACTATCACCGTTTAGCACACGGGAGGACTAAGGCTCCGAGAGTCACACAGTTAAGAAGCATCTGAGCCAGAATTTACAGGCAGCCTGGCTCAGTACCTGTGTGCTGCATCACCGCACTAGGAGGCCTGACCCCACTGGGGACATTAGGACCCGGCTTACAATTCCTTTAGCTTCCCCATGTGCTGCCTGCATGCCAACTGCTCAAGGAACACCTAGTGCTGGGGCAACTGGAACCCAGAGAGAGAAAAAGACCAGCCCAACACCACACAGCAGCCACTGAAGGAGCAGAGTTGGGCTGGGAACCCAGGCCGTGTGACCTCTGCCCATTAGGATGCTCCGGGCGGTGGTCAGGAGGAGAAGGGTCACGCTGTGCACATCTCCCGTGGTGAAAGGCCCTTTTGGCAGCCCATAAATCCAGCTGGGTCCTGCTTATCCTGTTTACTGGATTAGCGGACCGGGCGGCTCCGTATAAATCACCCAGGGTGATTTACAGGGAGGCCCTGGAAGGTCTGAAGGCGCAGGCTGACGTGGCCCCTGGGGAGAGGCAGATAAAGCGCCATCCCAATAAGGGGTGAGGGCTGATGGCGGGACGTCCCATCCTGCTCTACCTGCCTCCACCAGACGAGTCATTCTGTTGTTGTTAGGTGCTGTCGAATCAATTTTGACCCATAGTGACACATAGTGACCCCAGTTCTGACAGAGTAGAACTGCCCATAGGTTTTTGGCTGTGATCCTTATGAGAGCAGATCACCAGGTCTTTCTCCCGAAGAGCCACTGGATGGGTTTGAACCACTAACGTTTTCGTTAGCATCCAAGTGCTTAACCATTGTGCTAACAGGGTTCTCCTCTTGCAGGCTCCCGGCATATTTTAAAGGCTCCAGAGGCAAAGGTTCTGGCACTTTTAGAGACAGTCTCTACCAAACAGTGTAAAGTAAGAATGATAAAATATGATAGGCAAACTGTGAAAGAATGAAGAGGACAAATTGTGAGGGGACTGAGGTGGAAAGCTTTACTAAATAACACTAATGGCTAAATTTTATTGGTTGTTTACCATGTGCTATCAAGTCTGGTAAAGCAGAGGGTCAGCAAAAATGAGGGAAACCCTCAATGAGATGAACTGACACAATAGCCAAAACAATGGACTCAAACATACCAACGAGCACGACGATGGCGCAGGACCAGGCAATGTTTTATTCTGTTATATGTAAGGTCACCATCAGTCGGAGCCAACTTGACAGCAACTAACAACAACCACCACTTGCCAGGCACCAATCTATGTTCTCTAAATGAATTGTCATTTAACTTCACAATAAACCTATGCGATAGGTGCTATGATGGTTCCCATTTCACAGACCAGTTCACTGAAACACAGAGGGGTTCATTGACTTGACCCAGGCCAAGATCACAAAACTTGAATCCTGGTGGTGAAAATGGGATTCAAACCCAGGCAGTCCTCCCCTAGAGCCATGAACTTAACCTCTAGAGTGGACAACATTCCTCCTTCTGTTCATTCAGCGCATTTGTTGTTAGTAATACAAGGGATGTTGTTGTTGTTGTTGTTAGTTGCTGATTCATGGTGATCATGTGTGTGCAGATTGGCACTACTCCATAGGGTTTTCAAGGCTGTGACCTTTCAGAAGCAGATCACCAGGTCTTACATGCACCCATCTGAGGCAACTCTGGGTGGATTTGAACCTCCAACCTTTTTGTTAGCAGTCCAGTACTTAACCATTTGTGCCATCCAGGGACTCCTGATTCAAAGGATAGGAGATGACTAAGGCATAAGTGGTGTGGTGTTTAAGACATGGACTTTGCAATTGCAATGGCCACGATTTAGACACCACTTCTGCCACTTACTAGCTTGTGACCTGGCAAGTCACTTTGATTCTCTGTACCTCAGTTTCCTCATCTGTAAAGCAGGGATAGTAGTAGTGCCTCCCTCATTAGAACACAGGTCCTTTCTGTATAAGTATGTTTGAGTAGTAAATAATATAATGTATTAAAAATATGCTAAGCACAATGCAAAACATGTAGTTAAGCATTCAATAAATGGTAGCCTCTTTCTATCCTATCTTGTTGCCTAGTCGATTTCAACTCATAGCGACCCTATAGGACAGAGTAGAACTGCCCCATAGGGTTTCCAAGGAGCAGCTGGTGGATTCAAACTGCCGACATTTGGTTAGTAGCCAAGGTCTTAACCACTGTGCCACCAGGGCTCCAGGGCTCTAGCAGTATCATATTTATCTTCACCCTGATATTAAAGAGCTGATGAACCATTCGTTGAGACTCACATTTATACAAGACTCTCCAAACAAGGTGGAAAATAATAATGCAGAATGGAGGTCAAGCTAGAAAGGGTAGTGAATTCTACGAGGAAGAACCAGCAAGGCTTCGTGGATAGGGTGGCTGAGACCTGAACTGCGAAACCTGAGCAAGATTTCTGCAAGCAGGGAAACACTGAGACTGTCCTTAGCAGAAGTACACGGTGAGTGATGGAGTACAGACTATCAACCACCATCCCAGACCCTAACTGTTTGTGCCTGTCTCTATCCTTTGACTGGGATAGCCTATCAGTAGGGATGATGTCTAATTCTTCACAATGTCTCCCCCATGTCTCCCCATGACTGACTCATAACAGATCCCAGGCCATGTTGAATAGATGGATTGATGGGTGGGTGGAAGGATGGATGGGCAGCTGGGTGGATACGAATGAGGGAGTGGGTAGATGGATGAGTGAACAGGTGAGTGGAATGGGTCGATGGATGGATGGATAGATGAGTGGATGAATGGACAGATGGGTGGATGGATGGATAGAAGGATAGATGGGTAGTTGCATATATGGATAGATGAGTGGGTGGGTAGATGAATGAATGAGTGGACAGGTGAGTGAATGGGTGGGTGGATGGATGGATAGATGAATGGATGGATGGACATATGGGTGGATGGACAGATAAATGGGTAGTTGCATGGATAGATATGTGAGAGGGTGAGTGGGTGGAGAGATGGATGGATGAATAGATGAGTAGGTGGGTGCATGGATGGGTGGGTGGATGGATGGGTGGGTGCATGGATGGACAGGTGAGTGGATGGGTGGATGAATGGGTTGTTGTGTTGATGGATAGGTGGGTGGGTAGATGAATGAGTGGACAGGTGAATGAATGATGGGTGGGTGGGTGAATGGATAGATGAATAGATGAACAGATGTGTGGATGGATGGAAGGATGGATGGGTAGTTGCGTGGATAGATATATGAGGGGGTGGATGATGGATGGATAAATGGGTGAATGGTTGGAATGATGAGTGGATAGGTGGATGGATGGATGGACAGATGGACGGATGGATGGATGGGCGGATGGACGGATGGGCGGATGGACGGAAGGATGGATGGATGGATGGATGGATGGATGGATGGATGGATGGATGGATTGACAGATGAATAGGTGAGTGGATGGGTAAATGAATGGATGAGTATATGTATGGATGAGTAGATGGTTAGTTTGATGAATGAATGGGTGGGTGGACAGGTGAATAGGTGAGTGGAAGGATGCATATTTATTGGATGTATGTATAGGTGAGTGGGTAGATGGATGAGTGGATGGATGCATGCACACATGGATGAGAGTGTGGCTGAAGGACAGGTACATGAAGGTAACTGCCTAGTGAGTTCCCACCTCAGAGACTTTGTACTTGGGGTTCTCTCTACCTGAATTGTTCCTCTTAAAAAAATTCCCTTGACCAGCTCCTTCATTTCATTTAAGACCCTGGTTAAATGTCATTTCCTCAAAGAAACCTTCCCTGACCACCCAATCGCAAATAGAATCCACTTTGACTCATACCTTCCTTTATTTTTCATGGTGTTTATTACTTCCTAGCATATAGATATCAAATGAAAGCCCCATGGTGTCAGATGCTTTGTTTTGCTTACTTCTCTATCACCAGCACCTAGTATAGGGGCTGGCACAATGTAATCCTTCAACAAATATTTACTGAATGAGTTGAAGGATGTGAAAAGCAGCTAGGGAGGAAGGGTTAGATCCAATTGTAGAAATCTCGTTGCAGAAGTTGAAAAAATGTTCTACAAATAATAATGCTGATATTTTCTCTAATTTGTTTCACCGTTGACACAGCACAAAGGGCTTTCTCATCCATTATTCCATTTGCACACACTTAAAGTTGACAAGAAAGACAGTTGGGTAATTTTTTTTTTTTTTTTACAATAGAAATATCTTTACTGTTTGTACTGATAAAAAGTATTGAAAAATTTCCACTTGACACTGAAGGATAAAAAATAAAAGGTGAAATTCTCCCTGTGTGCATCCACTCTGAGATATTCACTGTGGAGAGTATTGTGCTGGGGTTACAATCTCCACTTTAATGGATGGGGAAACTGAGACTCAAAGAAGCTAAGAGACTTGTCCAGGGTCACACAGTTACTCAACAGCAGAGTAAGATTTTTTTGTCCATTCCACTTAAATATGGTGGATGGATGGATGGATGGATAAATGGGTGGATGGATAGAAAGGTGAGTGGATGGGTGGATGGATTGATGAGTGAATAGATAAGTGGATGGTTGGATGGATGGATGGATGGAGGGATGGATGGATGGATGAGATGGATGGATGGATGGATGGATGGATGCATGGATGGATGCATGGATGGATGCATGGATGGGTGAATGGGTAGGTAGGTGGATGGATGAGTGAATAGATTAGTGAATAAATAAGTGGATGGATGGATGGATAAATAGGTGAGTAGATGGGTAAATGGATAGATGAGTGTATGTATGTATGAATGAGATGTTAATTCCAACTATATGGCCCTGAAAGATTATTTCTTGGAGCTGCAGTTCCCCTTATCCCAGGTCAACCCCAGGTTGGACTAAGTGATGTAGGCCTGAGGGGGACTGAATAGGCTCCGTGCACAACCAGCAGAAGTACTTTTCTTGCCAATTCCCAGTCCTGGTTAAGCCCATTCAGCCCCACATGGCTACTGAGGAAGGATGCCAATCTGGGCTGTCTGGAATATTCTCAGCACTTCATCCAGGCTTTCTCAGCTGCCCAAACATCCTGATTGTCCTGTCCTGTTGGCCCAGCTACCTTTTGTGTGCCAGGCACTTTCAATGCAATATCTTACCTAACACTCACAATAAACTCATGATCTATTATTATCCCCATCTAAGGGGTATATTGGTTTCCTGGGGCTGCTGTAACAAAGTATTACAAACTGGGTGGCTTAAAACAACAGAAGTTTATCTTCTCACAGTTCCGGAGGCCTGAAGTCCGAAGCCAAGGTGTGAGCAGAGCCATGCTTTCTCTGAAGGCTCTTGGGAAGAATCCTTCCTTGTCTCTTCCAGCTTCTGGTAGCCCCAGGTGCTCCTTTGCTGTAGCAGCGTCACTCCAATCTCTCTTCTGTCTGCATGTGGCCATCTTCTCTCTGTGTCTCTCTCCTCTTCTTAAGGACACCAGTTAGACTGGATTATGGCCCACTCTACTCCAGTATGACCTCTTGTGAACTTAACTGCATCTGCAAAGACACTATCTCCAAGTAAGGTCACATTCACGAGTACGGGGGTTAGAACTTGAGCATATCTTTTTTGGAGGACACAAATCAACCTATAACAACGGTGGATGAAACTGAGGTCCAAAGAGCTTAAGTGGCTTGCCCAAGGCTACACTGACTAACCAATGAGAGCTGGAACATGAAGCCTGAGCCTGCATCCCTCCGACTTTGGGGCCTGGGCTCCTTTCCTGCCCCCTCCTGCACTCTATCCTAGTGGTCCTCAACCCCGCCCCTATCTTGCCCACACTCTGTGCTGGGGCCTTGGGTTCCTGCCCGACAGAGGAGAGGCCTTGGCCCTGTGCTGCCTCCACCTCTTTTCAGAACTTCTCTACTTCTTTCCATATGCCGCCATCTTCCTTTCGGTCATACCCCCTCACCCATTCCACCCTGCCCCTTCTCCTTCTGTGAGCTTCTTCCCCACAATCCATAAATATTCTCAGGTCTTCCCCTTTTCAAAAAAGGCCCTCCTTCATTCTTTTCCTCCTTCAAGCTACCACTTCCTCTTTCTCCTATACTTCACCATCAAACTTCTTAGGGCAAAAAGGATTCTATGTGTCCAGTCCGCACCCAACTAATACCTTGGTCATGGGACAGACCTGAATTTCAGTCCTGACTCCACCACTCTGACTCACCTTGAGTGAGTCACGGTGCCTCTTTTAGCCTCAGTTCCCTCATCTGTAAATTAATATCTTTCCATCATGGCTTATTGTGATGATGAGATGGGCTAAAGTATATAAAGGGCTTAGTACCCTATCTGGCACATGGCAGTGGTATTTACTGTCATTCACAGCTGTCTCCCCAGCCCCTAGCCCATCCCAGCATATGTAGGCCCAACATAAAATATCTTGTGGGTTAGAAATCGAATGCATGGGCTTCACAAGGTGCCATGCCCCCTCATTGTCCTTTCCTGCTCAGGCTCTCCCTGGTCCTCCTCCCTCCACACTGAACTTATTCTTATCTCCTCCATCATCTCAGATATCACCCCCTCCAGGAAGCCTTCCAGAGTGTTCTTCTTGTGCCTCTTGTGCCACAATTGTCATATGTGGCCTCAGAGGACTTTAGTCCTTGTGAGCAGGGACCATTTTTCCTCCTTGTTTCAAACATTCATTTGACTCTGCCCTATCTCAGTGGGTACTGGGATAGCTGGGCTTTGTGGTGTATAGAGTGGTTGTGGAATTTGGTCAGTTAGTCAAGTGGCTCCCGGGAGCCTTGGAGGGAAACTCATCCCTGCACCAGAAGTTGACTTAAGGGAGAACCACATGTTTGTGTATGTTAAATCCCACACCATTCTCCCCACACCCAATTCATGGACTACCCCACTCTCAGCTGAGAGCCAGAAAAAGCTTTTGGGGCTACCTGAATTAAAGAGTCCCTTTCCCTTCCCAGACTTTACCTGGCAGCTACCTGGAGCACCTGGCTACCTCCATTTCTCAACTTTGCCCCTAAGGAGCCCTGAGTTCCCGAAGCAGAAGACCCTGGGACGTGCTACGAATTCTGGTCAGACCTGGGATCTGACAGCAGGATGCCCAGGACTACTTTCTGGCTTCTGGATGCATGACAGAGGCTGTGACAAGGATGGGGAGGCCCAAGCTGCACCTCAGGAGGCAGCATTGCAAGCCGATGAGGGACTAGGTTTGGAGTAGAAGGTCTGCTTTTAAATCCCAGCTCTGCCATTTACCAGTCATGGCACTTCAGGCAAGCCGCCTGTCTCAGTTACCTAGTGCAGCTATAACAGAAAAACCACAAGTGGGTGACTTTGACAAACAGAATCTTATTTTCTCACAGTTTAGAAGGCCAGAGGTCTAAATTCAGGGCACCAGCTCCAGGGGAAGGCTTTCTCTTTGTGTCAGCTCTTTTCAGCTTCTATTCCTTGGCCATCATGGTGATCTGTGTGTGTGACGGCATCTATCTTCCCCCATCTCTGCTTGCTTTTTCTGGTTGTCGTTCAATCTGCTCTTTTAAATCTCAAAAGAGACTGACTTAAAACATACCCTACACTAATACTGCTACATTAACATAACAAAGAAAACCCATTCCCAAATGAGATTTACAACACAGATTTTTGGGGGACACGATTCAATTTACAACACCATCTAACATCTCCCATTTTCTCATCTCTCAAATAGGAATAATAATGCTTACTTCGTAAAGCACTTGGAGGATACAGTGAGGTAACATACAAAGCAACTGGCACATAGTAATCACTCTATAAATGACTGATATTGTTATTACTGTCAATGCTATTTTTGTTATTAGCTGTGTGACTTTGGGCTTAACCTCTCTGTGCCCCAACCCCCTTTCCTGATCTCTAAAGAAGTGGAGCTGAAAATAATAAATAATAATAAATGCCTCACAGAGTGACGGTGGACATTAAGTAAGATAAAGCATGTAAGGTGTCCTGGGCATAGTAATGTCTCAATACAACAGCTATGATTAGTATTCGTATCTATTATGATCACTACTATTATTTGGGCTGGCCAGCTGAGGAAGTGCCTTGACCCTTCCAGCTTTGGCGAGCCATCTGAGGCTCTGGGTGGAGGAAAAGCCCCACTAAAAGGCCCCGCCCCTCCCCTGCCCCCACCCCCCAGGCCCCTTTGAAGTCCCCAGGGGCCCGGCCCGTGATAAATGTCCCAGCCCTATAGGTTATGACTTGCTGCCAGATTTGACGTTAACCATCATGCCCTGGCTGGGTGTTTGAAGAAAGTGGCTAAATGCTGCTGGGGCTGATGGGGGAGATAGGAGGCGAGGCCAGTCTTTGAAAGCCCCGGCCGCCCTGGCGAGAGAGAGCGAGGAGGCCAGCTCCGCTCCAGCTGTTTAGTCTACCAATCATGGTGGTGACAAGGAGTCTGTGCTGGC